CATTTTGATGCCATCAATTTGTTTCCCTATTACTGTTATTTTTGCAATTTTCTGGCTCCCTTAGAACTTGCTCAATCCGCTTTGATCTGCTTCCCTTCAAGCTTTATTTTTGGTGCTGTTTTTCATGTTCTGTAACTTTTTTTTTTTTTTTTTTTTTTTTGCACTCCTCTCCCCTCAGCTCTTTTGATTCAACTCTTTCTTAGGACGGGAACAAACTCCAGCTTTGAGTGAACAGGTAAATGTGATTACAGGGGTTTGCGCTAAGAATGCCTAGCTTTGTGCTGGTGAATAGCAATGGCTGAGAGCCTACTTCAAAGGCTCTCGAGAACAAAGAACCTTTTCTGAGGCCACTAACAAATCCAGCAATTCTTCCTGACCCATCTTTGCCAAGAGATACCAGCTAATGGCAGGACAAGCCTGTCCTGTGAGAGTGGCCAAGTGGGCTGGGAACAAACATCCCCATGACATAATAAGGGGAGAACATACTGTTTATCTCGCTAATAACCATCCTGAGGAAAATTAATGTTACTTTGTCCTTTGTGCAGAGCGGTGATTGGATTGTGTGTTTCATTTCTATCTGGACAAAGGCCAGCGTATTGCAATACTTCTCAATATTAGATTTTCTTGTTTAAAAATTAGATTTTATTGGCATTCTCCTTCTGTGATTTCTTCATTAAAAGCTTCATTAAGCATAAATCTCCTTTTACACAGAAGAAAAACAAAAAATTATTTTCAGGAGGTCATTTTAAAAGTCTTCTAGAAGGGCGACGCTAAGCTTCACACAGATTTGCCGTGTTCCAGGGGCCTGGCATTCCAGAGATGAAATAATGATTGATTTTGCATGGATTTATCTAATATTAATTATATTGATGCTTGAAGCTATTTAATAAGCTGATGTGTTCCAGAGTCTCAAGCTTTACAAATCTGATATTAAATCATTTTTTTTTTTCCTCAGGTAGGAAGTAGGCAGTAATGTCTTGGTTCGGAAGTGACTTAAGTCCAGGGGTCTCTTCTCCCCTCACAGACATGAAGTCATGCACCTGAGTAAGATAGTTTGTTTGCACAGCTGCCATGCTGAGAAATGCAGCTAGCCATTAAGGGCAACTGTGTGCTCTGATGGTGGGTTCTGGTATGGGGTGAACATGTCCCCGACAACAGTGGCAGGGAAAAGTGACGCAGTTTTCCCAACCTAGATAGAACTGTCCTCAACTCGCAGGGTCTACAGAACAGCGTTTTCTGAGCAGGGACTGCACAAGGCTGCGTTTGCCTTTGACTTCCTGACATTCTGGCTGTCTAGCTTGCACCCTCCAAGTGAAGGGAGACAATTAAATGATCTGATTTGAAAGGCCTTCTCCATGGGGCTGCAAACTTTATATTGTGACAAAGATAAACAATGCAGTATCAATGCAGGACAATCATACTAAAGACTGAGCTATCGACATGAATTTAAAGATGTCCGCTTCAAAAGCTCGAAATCTGAGGTTAGGCTAGGGAGCTATCTCATTGACAAATGCTTGCTAGAGCCCAGATGAAAGAAGTCAGGCTTGGTGGAGAGTGCTTGTTATCCCAGTTGCTGGGAAAGTGAAGACAGGTTAATCTTTGAGGCCCACTGGCCAGCTAGCCATCCCAATGTACTTGGAAAATGGGGTTCTAGGCTAGTAAGGAGAGACCCTGTCCAAAAAATCTAGGAGTGTGTGCCTAAGGAATGACACCCAGGGTGGTCCTCTGGCCTCCACACGGATGTGTGCATGTCATTGCCCCTCATTTCTCTCTCACACACATGGAGCCAGGAAGCAGAAAATTCATTTGTGATCAATGTGATCAATGAAAACTAAAGGTACAGATTTGTCTAAAGCCATACTTTTTTCCAAAATGAGAAATAAGAACAAAACCACCTAGGTTTTCCATATGAGCATATAACATGAAAATTTCTACATATAAGCTTTTTAAAGGAATTGCATATGAAATTATTCCGTTTTCTCTGGACAAGAACCAGATAGGTAGGTGTCAGGTGAGGGGGCACTTCTCTCAGGCCTTAGAGAGGCTTGAGAGGTTGCGACCCAGCAGCCATGGTTGAGTAAGGGCTGAGAGGAACTGAGATTCCTGGGGGCGGGTTGTTGGGATGGAGGCACCTGTTTGGAGACAAGGTGGGGTTCCAGCGTTCAAAGCTGGGTACCACAAGAGCCAACACAAGAAGCACAGGAAACAAGTGAGTGCCAGGATGTGATGGCAGAGGAGAGTTCCCAAGGCCACCTGCCCTGGGTTGGCAGCTCCGACAAGTCACCTGTAGCTGAGTCCATGGAGAAGAAGCTAGGTTGCCACATTGTGCAATGGATCCCTCTACCTCCCCTTGACTTTTCAGTGAGAAGTTAAACTGTCTCTGACTTTCTAGTTAGAAATCTGCCCCTCTTAGATGGATGCAAGTTTCTGCTCGTTTCTCCCCTCCACTACATGCTCAGCAGTCTTGAACCGCTCACAGAACATCCTTGTATTGGGTGCAAGGCTTCCCCGGCAGGCCGAGAGGACAAGCTGTACCCTCAGTTTGCAGAGGTCCGTCTCACAGCACACGGGGCAGTGGAAGCCAGCGCGACTTCACATACTGCGATGGATGCTCGTGAACCTTGACTGCTACCTGACGACTTCTCTCTCACTTCCCCTCCTCACCCAACGCCTGTCAGAATAGCTGGTTCACTAAAGCCAGACAGACACAGAGGCAGCCAATAAAAATAGAATGGCATAGTTCTGGAACAAAGAAAATATAGGGAAAAAATGTGAAAAGGAGCTGAATTGACCAAAAGATGATTTGTACTCACCATAAAAGAATTCCAGCATAAGGAAACTACAGAGAGCTTGAAGAAGCATGGCTCCTGTGAAGGAAGACCAGTGAGAAAATGCATATGCAGTCCTGGAGAATGGAGACGTGGTCAGAAACACAGGAGTAGATTTTTGATTTACAGATAAAGGGAACAGATAAAAACCCAGAACCCCTAAGTGGCATGATTGCTAAGATAGATAAGAGTAATGCATATTAAACTTTGTAATGCATATCAAACTTTGTAATGCACACATAGAGATTATGGTTCCTCGTTCCCTGGATATAATGTAGCTTAGGACCCTTGCCATTCTCTTCTGATCATTTATTCTATGAAGGTCAGAGTCCAATTTTTTATTTATTTTTATTTTATGTACATTGGTGTTTTGCTATGGGTGTCAAGTCCCCTGGAACTGGAGTCACAGACAACTGTGAGCTGCCATGTGGGTGCTGGGAATTGAACCCGGGTCCTCTGGAATAGCAATCAGTGCTCTTAACCACTGAGCTATCTCTCCAGCCCCTGATCACTTATTCTGATATTGTGCCTCCACACACAGTTTACATGTTGATACCTTCAACTGAAGTTCTCACCTGAAATCCTGCTTCATGTATCACTTGCTGGACATTTGAGTGTTTAAGAAGTATCTTATGTGAAACGTCAGAAATGAAGCTTCCCATATCCCTTGTCTACTACACAGCAATTCTCATGGTCATGTCCATGCTAATGAGTGGAGGCTCATTCTAACTTGGGTCGTGCCTCAGTCCATCAACAAGTCATGCCTTCAGAAAACGTTCAGAATCAAACTGCTCCAGTGTTCCCTGCCTACCAAACTGCCACCACTGCCTGCTCCTCACTGACCTCCCTACCCTGCTCCTAGGCCCATTACAGTCTGTTTTCTTACAGCAACAAGGGTGATCTCATGTCAGTCTTGGACTTATACCTCTAAGTGGTCTTTCTCTGGCAATCGTATCCAAAGTCTTATGATGACTTGCAGATGTCCCCCGACACCTGACCTAAATGCCATCTCTTAGGATTCTTCCTCTTATCTCCTCTGTGCCACTCACTGCCCCCCCCCCTCCGATCATGACAGGAACAATGTCCCTTGCCCCAGGACCTCAGCCCTTGCTTGTTTCCAGTTGCCCACATGGCACATTTCTTTACCTCCCTGTAGTCTTTCCTCAAATATGAAGACAGTGTCAGTGCATAGATGATGAAGGTCAGGACAAAGAATGACCTAGTCGTGAGGATGGATAACTCTCTGTCTTAGTGACTTACCCTTTACCAAGCTCTTCCACACTGCATGTGTGTTAACTTAAGAAAACAACCCCGAGCTTGAATTTATCACCTCAGCTTTATGTCTACGCTAAAAAAGAAAGATAAATTAAGCTTCCTTGTCCAAGATAGAAACTTCTAGTACTCCAGGCTTCTGGCCCCAAGGCAAGGCCCTCCATGCATTACAGTTTGTTCTAGAGTTATGAGAATAGTAGTAACACTTGAAATCAAGAAAACAGCAGCAGCAGCAGCAGCAGCAGCAGCAGCAGCAGCAGCAGCAGCAGCAGCAGCAGCGAAAGGTCACTGTTTGGGGCACTTTAGATGTTTCACTCTTTTTGTTGCTGTTGTGGAAGCCCGGGAGGCAAGCACTATTACTGACAGTTTTTAGAGGAGGAGACAGACTCAGCACAGGGTAGTTAGAGGACCTAGCTCTACCAGCAGGAATGGTAGAGCTAGGACAGACACTTAAGTAGCCCAGCTCTAGATCTGGGTCCTTTAGCACCCTGTCGAATCCCTGCTTTGTCTGAGAAAACTTTTTCTTTTTCCTTTTCTGCTAGACGTGCTAGACACACTGTAGCGCTAGATAGAATTGAATTCTCTAGTTGGGTAATTAGAGACTAACTGTGCTCCAAAGATTTTTTTGAAGGCATATGCTGTTTAAGAAATACCATCTTTAAATTGAGGTTAAGTGTGAAGATTTTCAATGTAATCGATGATCGTCTGAGTCTGTCAGGCAGTTAAACAGAGGTTTGTGGTTCCTGAAATATAAGACAGCCATGGCCATATTTTCTAAGGTGGATATTTTATCTTGGATTCTCAATTCTGACTGCAGATGAACTTTTCTTCCCAGCGACAGCTTGTATGGACTTCAGGGGGATCCCGGCAGGCTAGGGGAAGGGAGCTGGCTTTGCTCACCTGGGGTGATTGTAGGCAATCTGCTTGAATTCATCATTCCAGTTGGGTCTCCCATAGAAGGTCTTCTGCTTTAAGCCTGTGATCACATCCAGGCTTTCATCCCAGTGTAAAGCTATGTGAATAGCCTAAGTTAAAAATTGTAGTATCAGTTGACATTAAAGAACAACCATAAGAACCATCTATAAATAAAAGATGAACTCACTATCATCATTTGTATATTTAAAATATTTTTTAACAGGGCTCGAAATGCTTTATTAGCAGATGTCCCCAATGTGCTTTACAAGTATTGTGTCTCATCTGTCTTTGTATTTATTCTTGTTGGGACAAAATTCTTCTCTGTATATAGTAGATATGCAAAAACATAGCCTGGAAAGGATGGCTTTCTTTGAAAGGATGAGAGTGATACAGTAAATGTGGTTAAGTGAAAATACTGAACAAGTTAGTTTTCTTTCTGCCAAACTTCTCAAAAATCAGTTTCCCCTTGCTGTCCCCATTCATTTAATATTAACTCTAGGGGACTTGAGAAGGGGCATTTCCAGATTAAAGTGCCATGAAATGCCCAGGAGGAAGCTGGGTTTTACAATTGAATTTGCCTACGGAGTTGACATGGTTGATGGACGGTCATTCCCAGATATTAGGACTGGCCCCTCCCCCAGATACCAAAGTCTGCAGAAGCTTAAGAATATTTGTGTGTAACCTACCCACATCCTTTCATATATTTTAAATCATCTTTCTGGTTTATAAAGCCTTACTGCCACACAACTATTCGGTAAAGAGTTGTTGTCCTGTATTGTTTAGGGAATAATGTAAAGAAATAAGAAGGATTTATATTTTCAGTGCAGATATATTTTTTTAAAGATATTTTCAGTCCTTGGTTGGTTGAATGTACATATGTGGAACTCAAAGATATGGAGAGCCAACTGTATAGTATTAGGTTTTAAGCACTGGACGATACACTTGATGAAGGTGTGATAGGATGCTGAAGAGTAAGGGGTCTGGATGGAGCTCTGTAAGTGACTGACTTCAAATCCAGTGACTTCACCCAGCCCTTGTGTAATTAGGGGCCCGCAAATAAGAGCTTGGGGCACAATAATCCTTATAATTACCTACTAAAGCACGATCATTGGCTTCAGCCCCTGTAGATTCTAGAAGCTACCTTGTTCTTTCCACTTTGGGTATGTGTGCTCTGCACCACCCCCGAGAGCCGTCACCAACCCTGGAGCTCACACACCGATTTTCACCTCACCCTCTAACTCTTAATAGTTGTGGCAGTTTGAATGACAGCCCTGCTGCACTCGGCTTGTGCGGCAGTGGCTTCCTGCTTGAAGGGAACTTGCCTGAATGGTTCTCTCCCTAGTCTAAGAAGGCAGCCAGTGCCAGAGGTTCATATCCAAGTCACAGTGGCTGTCCGCAGACCAGTGGACAGGGGCAGACTGGCCTTCGGAATGCCAGGCTACAGGGAATTGCTGTCCAGCAAGTCTGACCTTAGGTAACAGTGCTCATATTGCAAGAGTTTGGAACCAGGACTCCATGCAGTGTGAAGATGGGGAAGTGGAAGAGGATGTGGACCGGCATGTCAGAGAGAGGAACCACCAGGAGCAAAAGACTTGAAAGCCTGAATGCACACAGCAGGATGCACAAGCATCCATCAGTCAACAGCTCTGGGGCAATAGGAAAATAGTGAGGCTCATCTAGAAACAGGTCAGGATAAGGAGGCCCCTAAAGTACTTGTGAAGACATTACAGTTTTATCTCATGGGGGGAGAAAGACCTTCCATACTTACGTCTGTGGGAACGCCCAATCTCTGGTGTTCAAACATTTGGAATTCTATCTGTTCCATATTTCTCAGCCCACTGTTCAATTAATCTCAAACTCTTTTGAGTTGCCCTTCATAATACCTCTCCCATCTGTCCCTTCTGTTCTTGTCAATTTGCCACTTTGAGGTTGTTGGATTCAGCTTCAGAACCGGCTATTTCTAAAACAGCCTCTCAGTGCCTGAGTTACTGACAGAATGCACCAACTATTTCTTTTCCTTAAATGTTGAGATTACTGATTTCCTGCTCAAAATCTGGAAGTGTGAAGAATTTCTGACATGCCACGGGAAAAACTTAAGAAGCTACCAACTTTAATTTACTTTCATTTAGGGAAAAAAAGTATATTTTATATCTTAGTCTTGAAAGGGGCAAAGATAGGGCAGGGCAGGGTTGTGTTGTCACAAAATCCACTTAGGAATTCTGTTTAGAGAATCTGAGTCTCATAAATCCCAAGCAACAGGGATTGGCTAAGTGGATGCTTGGGACCAATTTGCCTTAGAAGTGGTAGAGCTACCCAGGGGCTGGGAAGTTAAAACAAAAATCATGGCTGTGTTTCACCAAAGGGATCATCAGTCAACAATCCCATTGGGATAGGGAAAATGTCTGTTTGGAAAACATAATTAACTCTTTATAATTTATTAAGGTCTCTCAAGCCTGGTTCCCAAGAAACCTGCAATTCAAATGATCCCAGAGGGTTAAATATTTAAGGAGGACTACAATTAAGACCATAAAAATTCATAAAACTTTAGAATTTCAACCAGGGTCTTACTCATTTACAGAAGCACAAAGCCAAGGTACAATGGAGTTGAGGGGGGGGGGCATTCACAAAACAGATAGAGCAATCATCTGTAAATTTGGTGATTGGTGAAAAGCTCTTTAGCTTAAACATATTTCCCTTAAAAGTATATATCAATGATACCATCTACGTATCCTCTACAGAAAACACTGTTTAAAACACACATTTTTGTAACCTAGTATAATGGCTTTGTTAACTCCCATGTTTGGGGAGTCCAATCGGATTCTGATACACTAGTCATCATTGACATACTGACTGTGATAGTTTTTTTTTTTTAATCAGTATTGGAATAGCGAGTTGATACATAATTTTTGCCAGACTCCATCTTTATACTCCATGACTATAGTGGCTTGCAGAACACCTGCCTAAGCAGAAGGTCATCTCAGCTTCAGATGAGAAGACACACTGAACCTGCTTTCTGAGAACCCCTTAAGAGAGAGAACTCTCTATGCAAATCCTGTGTCCATACTAATTTTCTGGCTCACATGCTTTTCAATATGAAAGGCTGGATAAAAGCAACAGGGAATCTTTTCTGTTTTACTCTGAGCAGCATAGAATCAGAACCAATTAGGAATTCAACAGATGATACAGCCAATTAGTGACAGTCACCCATGCCACTCTTAAAAGTGACAAATTCAAACTTTAAGACTCCTAATATCTGGGTTGTCGTTTATTACCCAGCATGTTTATCTTTTTTATTCCACAGTAAGATAGCTAGAGGTCTTTTTATTGCTATATCTTAACTAGTTGCTTCCAGTCTAGTTTGGTTCTGTTCTTCTCTCCCTTTTGAAGAATTTTAGAATGATTATTTGGTGCTGCCTGGTAAGCCCGCAGCTCATTCTCAGAAATGGGTTCTTTGAAGAAGGGAGACAGTATTAGAGATCCTGGGTTTTACTGGTACCTGGTTTTCATCCCAGCCAGTGAGAAATAGATGGTAACTCAGCAAGTCAGCCTTCCCTTGCTCACTCATCCGTGTTTCCAGGGAAAGTAACAGATCGGCAAACCACTCAAATGCCCCGGCATCGCGGCAGATCCAATAGAAGTACACCTGTCAGGAGAGAAGGCGGGAGGCTCATCGGTCCTTCTTTCCACAGTGTGCTCATAATCACAGGCTACTTCATGTCCATTAAATGATTTGAGCCCAAATGGGCTGTTCTGTTAAACCACACGTTTTTCTCTACCAGTGAACAAACCATCATACTGTGATTTCTTTTGGAAAAGAAGGAGGAGGAGGAGGAGGAGGAGGAGGAGGAGGAGGAGGAGGAGGAGGAGGAGGAGAAGAAGAGAAAAATCCCATTGTGTTTGAAAAGGCCCAGACTGAATTCAAGGAGTCAGGGTTTCCGTGGGCTGTGCCAGCCTCTTTGGATGAGGATCAACTTTCCACACTTCTGGCCAGCCTTCTTCTGAACAAGATTAATAATCATAACTCATGGTGCCTTTTATTGCTCCCCAAAGGGGATACGCTGCTAGACCAGCCCCCTTCATCTTTACTTATGACCTAAGCTCAAGATTTCAACTCTCTTCTCCAGAGACCCTCCCAAAGGGTCGGGCACTAATCCACTTCACCAATCTACTTCACCGGCCACAGCCTCTGGAGAATGGAGATTATGGTAATTGCAGAATGAAACCTCACAAGACAGAAATTTCCTCTCGGTGAGACTTATCAGTGTCCTCAAAAGCCGGTGAGGAGTGGAGGCTGTGCCTGTGTGTGGACTGATGTAGTCAAACTGTTTCTGGGAAGGGATCTGTTTTTATTTACTTATTTTTGAAAACATTTTCTCCCGGTTGAGCAAATGGCAGGTGACAAGAAGCAGTTTGGGTTTGCTAAATGAAAGGCTTAGCTTTGTGCTTTGAGTTTCAGATAATTGTATCTAGAAAAAAACAAAACAAAACAAAAAACAAAAACAACAACAACAACAAACAAACAGGAGACGAATTTGTTCATTCTCTGGATTCCACTCCCATGTGTCTACCCCTGATGTCTACCCAAAGGGACATCTGTGGGGCTCAACAGTGTCTGTGGGGCCTTGTCCCCACTCCAGGCACTGTCTGGTGTGTTACCACCTGACACATTCCCTCAAATGGCCAGTGTTTGCTTCCCCCTCTCTCCTTCTCTCTCCCTCTTCCCCCATCAGCTTGCAAGCTCACTGTCATACAATCAGATTTATAGATGAGATTTAATTAGTATCACAAGGAAAAGAAAATCACAGAATGTATTTCATGGCTGAATATCTTGCCCATTCTTCTCAGATTTATGCAGGTCTTTGCAATGTTAGCAAGTCAGGAAGAGCAGGAGGTGAGAATCTAAGACCTCCCTCTCAAAATCAGAGGTTGCATATTTTCTGGATAGCTTCTGCTCAGATGAAACTCAAAATATTAATCCAAGGAGAAAGACCAGTGGGTCTCAACTTGTGGGTTGTGATCCATTTGTGTGTGTGTGTGTGTGTGTGTGTGTGTGTGTGTGTGTGGTTTGCATATCATATATCCTGCCTATCAGATATTTACAGTTCATAACAGTAGCACAATTACAGTTATGAAGTAGCAATGGAATCATTTTAACCATAACATGAGGAACTGTATTAAAGGGTTGCAGCATTAGGAAGGTTGAGAACCACTGCCTTACACCTTAGGCACAATTACCACCTCTAAAAGACTTCTCTCATCTTCCTGGCTGTCATCCCTCCCTGAAGTGCATAGTCCACAGTCCCTCCAGGTAGCTTCAAAGCAGAACAGGGAAGAAAGTGCCTCCTGCTGAATATTTCAAGAGTCCTCATGGACAGAAGGCAGTACCTATCTACTCACTCACTGGTTCACAAATGCTTGCACAATAATTACTATGGGTAGTGACCAGTTTACATTCTGGAATTATGATAGTGAACAAGACAGACAGGCAGACAGGCAGACAGATAGCCATATGTGTAAAATGCCCATCCTTGGAATTTGTGTCTTGGAGAAGGAGGTTGATGCGTACATACATACAGTATAGAATATGCCAGATGGTAATCAGTGCAGTGTAGAAACAGCAATCTGAGAAAGGTCATGATATTGACTCCAATGGCAAAGGGACCTCACTGAGGAGACACTTGAGCCATGGAGGGGAAGAAGGTGTTGGATGGTGTTCTAGTTTCCTTCTGTTGCTGTGATAAAAACACTTGAATCAAAAGAAACTTGATGAAGAAAAGGTTTATCTGGCTTAAACTTTCAGGTCACAGTCTGTCATTGATGTAAGATCCATAACCCAAGCAGGATCGTGGAGCAGGAATCATGGAGGAATACTACTGGCTGGCTTGCTCTCTGGCTCTCTCACAGGCTCATGCTTACCTAGCCTTTTTTTTTAAAAAAAATAAAGTCCAGGACCATCTGCCCATGGTGGCCTGGGCCATCTTGCATCAATTAATCATCAAGACAATTCCTCACAGATACAGTCACAGACCAGCCCGATCTAGGCAGTTCCTCAATTGAGGCTTCTCCTTTCGTATGACTTAGGCTGTGTCAACTTGACAGTAAAGCCTAACCAAGACACTTCACTCCTTGTGGACACAAAAATATCACTGTTAAATCATATCCCCAAGATCTCATGTTAATATCATAATATAAAACACAGTCTGCAGTTAAAAGTTCCATAGTATTTAAAAATTCCAATGCTTTAAAAGTTTAATGTCTTGTTAAAAATCTAAAATCTCTTAATGGTGGGCTTTTATAAAAATATAAACAAGTTATATATGCTGTTATTGCAAAAGGGAAGAACTGGGAATAAAAATAACCAGATCAGTATATGGAATAAGGGGGCATTCATTTACTGCTGGTGGGACTGCAAACTTGTACAGCCAGTATGGAAATCAGTGTGGAGGTTTCCCAGGAAGATGGAAATTCATCTACCTAAGATCCAGCTAGACCACTCTTGGACATACACCCAAAGGATGCTCCATCCTACCACAAGACACTCACTCAACCATGTTTGTTGCTGATTTATTCATAATATCCAGAAATTAGAAACAACCTAGATGTCCCTCAACAGAAGAATGGATAAAGAAAATGTGGTACATTTATACAATGGAGTATGACTCAAACATTAAAAAAATGAAGTCATTTAATTTGCAGGCAAATAGTTGGGACTAGAAAAAATTATCCTGAGTGAGGTATCTCAGACCCAGAAAGATAAATATGATATGTATTCATTTATAGGTGCATATTAGCTGTTAAGTCAATGATAACCAAACTACATTCCACAGAACCAAAGAAGGTAGGCCTACAGTAAGGAACTGGAGGGTACAGGCAGATTTCATTAGGAAAGAGAGATAGAATACATAATTATGGATGGATGAATGGCTGGAATTGGAGGATCAAGTGGAGAAGGGGATGGGGAGGAGGTTGATGGAGAGAACATACGGAGACAGTTAAAATTAAGGGCCATTTGAGGGATAGTATGAAAACATAATACAGTAGAAAGTTCCTAAAATATACACAAAGACTCAAAACCAGACAACACTCACACACGCACACACACACAAACATACACTTCATGACTCCTCAATCTTGCACCTCTTATACTTTAAAAGTCAGTACTAGGGTACTAGGTGGGTGATCCTTATACACTGCCATGTTCAGCTGCCGGCTTGAGATGCAGCTTTGACCCTCTGGACCATAGCTACTATGGGCTGACCCTGAGGAAACACTTCCCAGAAGATTTCAAGAATGATGCTGATGTCTTATTAATTGTAGCTGATTCTTTAGCCCCTGATGATCAGCATCCACTGTCCTAGTGAAGCCCAGGGTTGACCTCAATGGAATCACACCTTTTTGACAATCACAGCTGCTTCTTCAACTCCACATGACCAGCGATCACAATTCTTGGTCAAAATACTACATGAATGGCCCATAGTCCAGTTATTAATTACGTCCTTGCTATCTTCTGAAACCTCATGAGCCACGCCTCCACCATCCACATCTCCCTCCGTGTTAGCTTCCAAGATCCCATAAGAGTTCACTAAGCTCTGAGCACTCAATGGCTATTCTAGCCCAGTGTTCCAAAAATAATTAAAAAAAAAATCAAACCAAAGCGGACAATAAAAAAATTCCAGTTTCAGAGCCTGTTCCAACCTTTCTTATCTGAAACAATGGCCACGTCTTAGCTTTCCCCACACTCTACTCTTTGTCTTTTCAAATAGGAATTGTCACTGTCCCCGCTTCCTCATGGTATAGCAGTGTGCCAGTGTTCTTAGAGCTCGAGGGCCTTTCATGCTTTTCCTCCCTTGCTGTTGCCTTGTGAGTTTTCCCCTCCATAATTGACTTCTGGGCACACTGGCCTCTTTGGTGTAAGAGACAATGGAAGGAGAGTGCATTGGCCCTGTAGACGTGCTTCAGGCAGACAAAAGGAAGAGGAGACTTTGAACAGAAGAAAGGGGGTATTTACTTTGACTCCCTTTCATGTTTCTAATGGTGGGGACACTTACTGTGAAGAGACATCAGAGTTCCACCCCTGCATTTGGCCCAGGAGAAAGGACATGGTCAGTGGAAGAACAAGTGTCCTAAACAATGGACGGCGGCTCTGTGATCTGTGCCTTCCCCTCCTTAGTCTCCAAAAATAAAACAAACCTGGAATCAGCTCTCTGTGCAAAGCATGGCTTTGAGAATTCCACAGTAGATACTAGAGGTCTAAAATACCCGAGGTTAAAAGATTTTATTAAGCAGAAAGTCAGTAAAATAACGTTCTGAACTTTCATGGCAACAAAAGCTACCCTACATTCTTGTAGAGACAGTGTAGGCTCAGGCGTTTTAGGAATTCATTCTGGGATCATGAGATTCTCTGTGCACATGGCCTGATACAGGCTTTCACTATCCCATCCTTTGGGGGCACTAAAGGCCTGACCTAACTCAGCTGTGCCCATCATGGAAGTCTAGGTCTGAGCTATATCCATTATAGTGTACTCTGTCATATCTCGACACATTTTCATATTCCAAAGCCCAACTCCTCTGTAAAGGTCAGTAGCTCATGTATAACAGGTCAGAATGATCTATGGTCAGTAGGAGATAAAGCTTTGCAAAAAT